TATTTTTATTTATTATTACATACTGCTTCTTTCTTTCTTTCTTTTATTTTTTTATTTATTATTAGCGAGAGGATTTCTATTTTTGACCCTCAAATTTTAGCAAGCTGCTGTGTTTAGCTATCCCTATTAGAGACCCAGTGCTGGTTTGGGTACATGCAATCCTACTTAGCCTAATTACACATAATCCTACGTTTTTGCCTATTTTTGATTGTTTTTACATACAAAAATCAATAAAAACAGGGTTTTTTTTTAAAAAAAAATAAAGAGTGTTTCTAAAAGATTTAGCGAATTTCAACTTTTTATATTTTTATAATTTTAGAAAAATCAAGTTCTTTTTAGATCTCAATTATGATATTATGATACTGTAGAGAGGCAATTATTTCTTCAAAATAGTTATCATTTATTAAATATTAAACTAGTTAATGAATAAAAAATTAGAAGGGAAGAAGTCGAATATGTGCACTCCTCTAAAAATATTGTAATTATTAATTTGAATAATAATGTATAATTAATAGATTTTAATAACCTTGTAAATGGGATTTAAAAAATACTAATATGCAAAAATGTCGTTTGCAATTAAATTAGACTGCTTAATCTGAGGCTGAATGTTTAAATTTCAGATAATATAATGAATATCTATTCAAAATAATATTAATGGCACTTATGGAGCTGGCTGAGAATCAAGACTATACTTTATGAGTCGATTATGATAAAATTGAATAGCTTCCTATACAAAATCTACAATGTGTAAATTAACTCTACATTAAAATCATAGATTTTACTATTTTGGCTCTAAATTTTAGGTTGTACAATCTTCTTAATGTGAAGTTATTACTTTTATTTTAAGTAATTAACTTTGCCAATTATTCAATCTAAACTGTGTTCTGTAATAAACTGGATAAGGATACTATTCTATTAATCTATGTTCAGATTTATTTAGTAATGCTTTTAGCAGAGTGATTATGAAAGTGCATATTTTATGGTAGTTGCAATCAAAATAATTATTCATCATCGCATAGATGAAACTATAATTTTAATAATTTATTATAATTATCTTAGATACAAGCTCAACTTTATAATATAAGTTTATAACAATCTAGAGTAATTTACTCTTGTAGCGAACAAAAAAATCAATATTAATTTTGCAATTCCTCAAATTACAACATCAGAGTAACTTTTTGACTAATACTTGTGTAACTAGAAGTTGTGAACTTTTAACATATACAAATTATCCTGTCATTTCTGATCAAATTTGTTATCAATAGATATATGATTTGAGATTATTGATTATATATTTAAATAATAATAACTAGATTATTAGACTTACACAGATGATTGCACTAAACTGATTTATTAATGCAATTCAAATTTGTGCTTTTGGTAAGACGGTAAATATGTTAATAATATTAACTGCCAACTAAACACAATTGTAATTTCTAATCGTGAATGCTTTTTAACAAATACAAAATTTTTATATTAACTTATACACAAGCTAAGGATTTCTTTTGTTTATTCGAGGTAATATTTATTTATTATTTATTAAATTTAAAATCAACCTTTACATATTTTTATTAAAAAAATTATTAAAGTACAATTTAGCCCTTTTTATAAAGATTAAGCATCTAATATAACTTGGTCTCTTTAATTAAATTTGTTTAATAAATAACTAATTGATTTTAAGATTATTGATTTTCACTATCATCAATTTGATAAAACTAAATATTTCTTTTTAATTTTCTTATTCAAGAAGACCTGCGAATTCAAAATTATTCGAAAATGAGATCAACTTGTTTAAGATAAGATATTATGGGGTTAAAAGAAACCTTTTATCATAATAACTAAACAATAATATCTTCAAATAGTGTTTTGAAGTTTCAAATATCTATTAGAAATTTTCAAAATTTGGTATAATATATAAATTTGAACACTCTTAATGATAAATTTCCTTACTATTTGTCCAAAATGTTAAATTTTTGTTTTGAGCCTTCTTGTATACTTTTCTCTAAATCAAGCAAATTCTTTTTATTAAAGTCTATAAATCATTAAATTTAATACAAAAAATTTTCCATCGTTCATTGAACCAATTAAATTTTGTTTACTTTTCATCCTTTTGATTGATTGATTCTGAAAAAAAACATTTAAGATATATGGCGTAAATAAAGTAATAACACTATTTAATTAAATATAATAAATTCAAAAAATACTGTTTAATATCATTATTAACCCCCCCAATATTATAATTTTAGAATTATAACTGACATCCACATATGGATATAATTATTATGATGCATCTATTTCTCTTTTCGCTAATTTCATTCAATTTCTTATTGTAATTTTTCTCATTTTGGCTATTTCATTCAATAATTCAAATTTTTTAAGTTTACTCCTTTTTATATTCATTTAATAGCTTTTCCTATTCTGAAATATATTCTTGCCATTATTTATTTACATATTCAATGATTTGATAATTAGTTAATGGATTTTCAGAAATACAATCAACACATCCTAGTCAATCTTCAATTTTCTTTTTATGATTCCATTTCAATCATTACAATTTCCTTTTAATTATTACTACAAATTCTACTCAAACTATTCGTTTTTTATTAGTTATGATTAGAAAATACAGTTCATTTTTTTTATTATTGTGGAAATAATTCAACTCTATTGTTTTCCATAATATCTTTTATTGTTTCTTTAGTAGTTGTAAGAGTATCTATGGTCTAAAAGTATTCAGATTTATTTACCATAGTTCATATTATTTTTGAATTTCTTCAATGAAATTATAATCCTCCTCTATTTTCTTTGATTTTTTTAAATCCGAAGAATATAATTCTGTTAGATTTTTATATCTTCTAAGTAATTCAATTCCGATTCATAATCTTATAATTCCTATTCCTCTTTTTAAATATGAGATATATATTTTTATATTTATATTACATCTTTTCCAGATAGTTATCTAATGATTTTTTGAAATTAGAGATCTGGTTTAAATATTTTTTAAAATAATTGAGTCTTACTTAATTCTCTCTTGTCATTATTTCTAGTTATTAAGCTTTGAATTATGAGATTCTCTCTTTTGATTATTCTATAGAAGTCAATTTAGGATTATTAATTTTATCAACTAAGCATTTATCACAAAAGAATTAAATCTGTGCTTTATCGGATGTGTCTAAGTCAACCCAATGAAATCAAGATTATGGATTTTGCAATTTTTTTCTAATGTTTCTTGTGATTAATGTTATTTAAAGAAATTCATATGTGTTATTTTAATTATTCATTAGAATTTATTTCCCTTTTATTTTGAACTTTCAAATTCTATAATTTATTTTTGTAAAATATTTTTCTATTAAAATAATTTATTGTACATAATATAAATGAGAATAAAGAGATATAATTAACTATTAAAGAAGTTCTTGAAATTACATACAATTAGGGAAGAAAGTATAAACCTTTAGTTTAATAATCAAAATTTACTTTAAGTTATAACCATTTCGTTGATTCTCTAATTAACTATTTACTATAATAATATATGGTTAAAGTTTTCTAACACTATTCCTTTTGAAAACTGATTTAGAGATTATTCAATTCAATAGTTTCTCCACCTAATGGATAAAATTATATATTATGAATTCACAAGAAAGAGAAACTTATTTCAAAGATTAAAGATTTAAATATAAAAATAAGTCAACATTAAAAAAAATTATCTCTAAGTTCTTGAAAGTTTATAATTTTTCACATAAATTTTACAGTATGAATAATTTGGAAATTCTAAAATTTATTTTGAAGGAGAGAACCAACAGTTAAATTAAGATAGATTTTTAACTTTATTTTAATAGCCAAACCAGTACTCTTTTTCATATCAAATCAACATAATTTATTGCTATCGAATTGATGATTCCTGTTTTAATG